TTGTTTGTCATTTCTCCGATCACAAATGCAGACATGGTTTTATGTTTATGCGGCGCGATGCAACGCGTAAAAAGAAGTCATAAGTCATTATAATCCGTAATTATGTCCCCACTGGATGCAACAAATGCCTCGTTTATAATGGGTTTTAATGTTTTTGTCTCGTCGCTCCGGCCGGGACACGGCATCACAGTATGGTGAGGGGCGTAACATTTCCGTCACACGCTTGAGGTATTCAGCCAATCACAACGCACTGGATAGCTGGCCAATCAGAGCACATCTCGCTATTCAGACCGATGAGCTTTGTAAAAATTGAAGCGTTTCAGAAAGGCGGGCATAGAGGAGAAACAATAATGTACAGTATGTGGAAAATAATGTTTTTTTTTAACCTTAAACCGCATAAACGCATTGCATTACACCAAATACACCAAATAATGTTCTTTTTAGCAACATCATATGACCTCTTTAAATGGACCGTTTGATTCAGTTGTAGAAACCAACAACAACATCCTAGCCTCATGACAAACATCACTCACATTGTCATCAGAAAATGCAAAACTCTACACTAGTTGTTGTCATTCAGGTGTACAGCGCACGAGGCCGGCGTTCTGTCAGATGTCAATATAGCAGTCTCTCTCTCGCCCGCTTTCTGTCTCACTGCAGTTGGTCAGGTTTTTCCAAGTTGTTCATTCCACACATTTATGCCCATGCTTTTTGTCATACTATTAGAATCCACCCTCCCCCTTGACGCACACACACACACACACACATGCTCTCTGTGAGACAGTCGGTGCTCAGTTCTGCTGTTATGAGAGAAAAAGGGGGGCTGTAAAAATAAACAGAACAAACTTTAACCATTGAAGAGGAAAATCTGGCCTATATTAGCCCTTCTCTCGCTCTCCCTCTCTCTGTCTCTGCGTCTCTGTCCGCTCCTCATCACTGATTTCCCAGAGCACAGAGTCTCCCATTAGCAGGAGATCAGAAGAAACTAGATTTGCATTTCCTGAAGGAAAAGAATAGTGTTAAACTTTTTGTGAAGGTTCACTTTTATCGGGCTGTAGCAAACGCAGTTCAGTATGTCATTGCTATGGGGGTATTTTTTGAATGCTGATCTTGAGTTTATAAAAGTTAGACTGAAATTATGCACATAGTATTTAATTTTTTGGGTTTAATTAATTGCATAAGTTTAATATTTAGGGTTAGTGTTTTGAACTCTAACTGGAAGTCAGTACAGTGAAGCCGTGCTAGAACTAGAAGAATGAATTTCACTTTTTTTTGTCCTGCACTTGTTCTGAAGAGACTTATTTCTTTCTAACGTTTTTCTTTTGCTCAGACTTTTTTCACAGGCCATCGTTCAAGTTGTCAAACCGACATTCCTTTAACCAGACAATAAACTGGCAATTAATTTGCTCGCTTTTTCTTTTCCATAACTTAGCGGAGAAAAATCACAACTCGAATCTCTTTAATATCTCATTTGTTTCTTCTAGACAGCAAGAGATCAAATGGAGATTTTTGCTGAAGTGTCCTGCTTCTCACATGTTTCTCCTGAGAAAAAAACACCTATAATCTCATGTGTGAGTTTCAGAAGAGATCTCAATGGTGTAAGATTAACTGTGCAAACTAAAGTCTGCAATCAAAAGTCACAAACTTAGATGACCTATGATTTTATAGCTTTATTCTCTTAATTTATATCAGCTATGTTGTTTCTCTTTTCCATTTTAGGTTCTAAATGGTTCTAAACCAGATCTCCAGTAAGTCTGCTGAGCTTTGAAAGAGGAACCTTCATTTTCCCCTAGCGTTTCATTTTTCTCTCATGCGTGCTTTCTTTGAGGTTTCTGTAATATTACAAATCCGTTTGTCGGCACTTTGTTGTGCAGTCACAGGAGGGTCACATGCAGAGATGTTATTCCTGTTTTGGTGCTTTTCATTGGCATGTTTCCTTAAAGGTGAAATGTGTTTTTCAGTATTAAAATACTTTCTCATATCCCAGTGTAATGTTCAGAGCCTGTTCCAAGTTGCAGACAAAAAGAGACCATCTGACTGACGTTTAAAGCGACAAACCACAGTATGTTTTGTTTTTACGTGCCGGTAGGAGCAGGTTTATCTAAAGTTGTTGATGCCACATCAATGTTAAGAAGAACTGATCATTTGTCTTGAATCATGTTCTCATTGTACTTGTGCCATGTGTGTTGCATGTTTCAGGCAAAACCCATCTACGGTGGATGGCTGCTCCTGGCACCTGAAGGAACAAACTTTGACAATCCTCTGCACAGATCACGGGTTCGTATAATTGCAGTGCTATTTAAAGTCCAGCAAAACCTCACCAAGAACTCGCCACTGCATATGGATTATAATGGTGCGCTGCACTTTTTGCTTAGCAAATTCAGTTTGGCAAAAATGTCTAACAAAAACTTTTTCATATTTCACACCAAAATAAAAAGGAGAATATAAGAAAATATTTTTGAGAGTATATTGGAAATACTTGTATGTATACACTTAATCACACACACACACACACACACACATATATACATAAAAAAATAATTAAAGATTGAAATCTAATTGTTATATATCATTATTTTCAAATAATATTTATAATTGTATTATTATTAGTAGTAGTAGTAAATTATTTAATTAATAATTTCTATTTGAACAATTATAACATATTTATATAATGGTTATTTTTACATGTTTGTCACTGGGTCTCTGGGACCCCAAACATAAAAAAGTCCATCTTAACAAAATATGAGGGTCCCATGTTCTGTTTGGTGTCATTTTAATAGGTTTATATCAGTTTTCTTACTTAATGACTTTTACTAATTGGATGTGATTGTAAATAAAATAAAAAATTAAATAAAATTCTTATTAAAATTCATTGGGCTTTGATTAGGAATTTCTTAAAATAATTTAAGATTGAAATCTAATTGTTATATATCATTATTTTCAAATAATATTTATAATTGTATTATTATTATTATTAGTAGTAAATTATTTAATTAATAATTTCTATTTGAACAATTATAACATATTTATATAATGGTTATTTTTACATGTTTGTCACTGGGTCTCTGGGACCCCAAACATAAAAAAGTCCATCTTAACAAAATATGAGGGTTAAATCATGATCGTTAGAGCAGTTTAATATATTTTTTTTAAAAACTCACTAGATGTTATGCATTATATTTAATACAACAAAGGACCAGAATTGCTTGTCTATTATCCCACATTGTGTGTGAGTCAAGAGATTGCTGCTTTTCTGTGTGTTTGCTGTACAGTATGTGGGCTTGTTAAGGGACGAACGAGTCAAGTGTGTGTGTGTGTGTGTGTGTGTGTGTGTGTGTGTGTGTGTGTGTGTGTGTGTTTGAGGGGGCCGTGGAGTCGCTGACTCACGCTCGTTCTCTCTCAAGACGAGTCTATTGTGTGTGTGTGTGTGTGTGTGTGTGTGTGTGTGTGTGTGTGTGTGTGTGTGTTTGAGGGGGTCGTAGAGTCGCTGACTCACGCTCGTTCTCTCTCAAGCTGAACTCGTGAGAAACAGCCGGAGAGGGAGTTTGTGGGATGGGAAACAATTCGACAGCAAACAGGAAATCACAGATAGACAAACAAGATGGAAAGATGATAAAAATAACCCAAAGTATATGTAGTATATACAAGTAGGTATGTGTAGGATGTGATGGTCAACTAAATAGCAATTGCTAATCTCCAAAGTCTAATTAAATAAATATATAAAATGCAATTTAATGACACTGACAAAATTGTGTATACAATATATTGTATGTAAATAAAATGAATTATTATATTATAAAATATTTACCCCAAATGCACATCTTTCAAAATAAAAATGTTTATTAATTGACAGTAACAGGAAGCTACCACTTCTGTAAATCAATCATGCAGCTACCATTGTACCATATCAGTCCGCCTGCCTGATAATACATGCATTATAATTTATATACAGTGGCCCTAATATGCTATGTAGACACTTAAGTCAGACTTTAAAATGCTTTCAAGATCTAAAACATGAAGATGGCATCAAGTTTCGCTCATGCAATGGTTATTTCTTCTCTTGCAGAAATGGCAGAGGCGTTTTTTCCTTCTGTATGAGCATGGACTCCTGCGTTACGCACTGGATGACATGGTGAGTGAGTGCTATGGCTTTCGTTTGGTTGTATTCTCATACTGTATATACGTGTTGCCATGTTCTGTCTGCAGTATGTGGGCGGCACTGTGTGGACAGACCTTCAGGGTGTTTATGATACTGCCTGTCTGTTGTATGTTGTGTGTGTTTCTATATGCATTGTATGGTATAATATGGCTGAATTCAGGGACGGTGCATAATCGTGACAATGAACATGTTCCTAATGGCACACTACTTCATTTAGTGAACAACTTTAGTTTTTCAGTTCGATTTTTACTGCATTTGACAGTACTTCTTTCATTGAATATTTTGGAGGATATACCAGGTTCAATACAAGTTAAGCTTGTCCTTTTTTTTTTTTTCTTTAAAAAAGCCAAAATCTGTGATACAATGGAAATGGGGCCAGTTTATTCAAATGTGAAGCTCTTCGTTTTATAAAATTTAATTTTTCTGTGTGTTATTTGAGCTGTCAATTCGTTCTTGTCCTTTTATGGTTTGTTTAGGGTTTTAGGTGTTATTTATTTATTTGTTAGATTTTTTCTCACAAAAATCATATTGTTAATGTTTTTTGGCTACGATATAGAAACATTAAACGATACAGATTGGTCTCATTCACTTCCATTGTAAGTGCTTCACTATAAACCAGATTATAGTATAGCTGTTCTCCAACATGTGTTTCCATAACGACCACTCTAACCCTACAATTTAGAATGAATGTAGCGGTGAATCTTACAAAACATGTCAAGAACACCCCAAAATCTACAGTAAAATAAGTATTATGGCTTATTCAGGCTTAATTAGTATCATCAAGACTTATTCAGAACATTAAAGGAAAAATTTGGTCATCATTTAATCACCCTCATGTTTCTCCAAACCTGTATGACCTTCTTTCTTTAGCAGAACACACACACACACACACACACACACACACAAAAATTGTAAAATGTGTTTTTTGTCCATTCAGAGGAAGTTTGTTGTTTTGGACGCCATCGACTGTCATTACATTATGGAAACTCTTAAACTGCCCCTTTCATGTTTTTTGCATTATATCATTTAGTCCATGTGTGTTCGCTTTGAGGTTAGCATTTTATGCTTGAGTACATCTAAAAGTTGACTAAATAAATGGTAACATTGACAGTAAGGTCCCATTTGTTAATTTTAGTTAATGCATTAACTATTATTATAATTATCATTACATTTCTTACAGTATTTATTCATCTTTGTTAATGTTAGTTAATATAAATACAACAATTCATTGTTAATTCATGTTAATAAATAATGTTAACAGATACAACTATTGATTTTAATGATGTATTAGTAAATGGCGACATTTAACTAAGATTAATAAAGGCTTTAAAAGTATTATTCATGTTAACTGATGTAGTTAACAAATGTTAACCTTATTGTACAGTGTTACCAAATAAACATTCAACATATATGCATCTAAAATGTACAGTCTTCCCTGGAAAACGGACCCAAAATATTGATTTTCACATTTCAATAGGAAATACATCAACACGAGAGAGAGAAAAATAACATCAAACCATTTCATAGGGATTTTAAAGTGAAAATGAAATTTCAATTTATAATGTGAAACATGCTATTCAATGGAAAAAGGTAGGATGGCGTTTATTTTGTATTATTTTGTGGCTTCTGTATCGAGATATGCAATGAATTGTGAGTAATGTCATGAATTAATCAGCATGTTACATAATTAATTCGATTGCATTTTTAAAATCGATTGACAGCCCTGCTTTCCTTCTCTCTATCGTCCTCTCGTTCACCTTCCTCTTCCTCTGCTGTCCGCCCCCGTTGGACTTAGACTCACTAAAGAGAGCGAAAGAGAGGGATGTGTAGGAGGAAAGAACAGGATGAGAGGAAGATTACAACAGAAGCCTGGCTGCTATTTTCAGACTAGTTGCATCTGTGTATGAATGCATGTGTGTGTGTTGTGATTAAACGGCCAGTTATTGAACATACATGCTGTAATTCACAACCTCAGTGACCCCAGTTCACCAGAAATGATCCCCTGATGTTGACCTGTGGGCCGGTCGAGGGTTAAAGCTGTGGGCATGGGTTTGCTGAACACAGATTCAGCAGTCTCTTTGTGTTGCATAAAACGCTCAGTCAGTCGGGCAGCGTTCCCAGAAGCACCTCTCTAAAGACAACGGGACGCAGAGCAGCACTAGAGGAGTTTTAATGTGATTTATCATTATCACAATGTTCCCACTTCATTCACATGTCTTTCTTTTTCTAGTTTATCAACCGTTTAGATCAGAGATTTGCAAACTGGAGTTTCCAAGATGATGAAAAGCTCATAATTTTAATCAAATTTAGGTAACACTTTATTTTAAGGACCCATTTTCAGTATTAACTAACAAGAGTATTACTAGCATACTGACTGTTTATTAGTACTTATAAAGCACATATTAATTCTGCATGACCATATTTTAGATCCCTTAATCCCTAAAAAATTAATAGTTAATAGCAAGAATCAGATCTTAAAATACAGTATGATCACAGTTTATTTTTATTTTTTAGTTATTAAATAAACAATTAAAAAAAACATCTCAATATTTTATTTGTTTACCTGCATGTCATTTGACCATTAACTGACATTAGAGAACCGTAAACATAGGAATGTGTTGTTAAATAAAATGTTTTAAATTTTAGGGGTACTTCATAAAAATATTTTGTCAAAGGTGTTCAGATGACAAAAAAGTTTGGGAATCCCTGATCTAGATAATAATTTCCTTTTTAAATACAAATGGGTAGTTGACATAACGTTTCAAGGAGTGTCCTGCTGTAATCAATGGAACTTTCTGTAATTCACTTGAAAATAATTATTTTAAATTATTCATTATTTTTACAATTCTTGTAAAACTCATTTATGGACTACATAGAATATGTATGCTTTTAAAATTAATTTGTCAGAATACAGGATCATTGAAGTTAAATGCAAAAACAGCTAAAAATAGTTGGACTTTGCTTTATACATATGTGAATTTTAACCTAAAATCTAACTAATTTTAAATCTTTCTAATTCTTGCTTGATTGTTAAACATGAAGTTGCAATGAAATTTATAACACATATGGATAATACTTACAATATTGATATCAATTTTGAACCTTATTTTTTGAAGAAAGAAAAAAATATATATATATTAGCTTCAAATGTGGTTTCAGTTCTAAAATGTCGCGTTTTTAAATATGGAAGACCAAACTGAGCACAGGTTGTGGATAAATGAGTTCAGTGGTGGTTAGTTAGATGGAACTAGTCTGGCAGTAAATACAGGGCAGAAGTCAAACACAATATTTGAACTTGAGGAACTTTGATCTGCAAATATGGTTCACAGAACACAAATCGGGCTGTAATAAAATGTTGTTGTTGACTTTGAACATAAACAGTTAAATGTATGTTGTGAAGAGTATTTTAGAATAATAAATGAAAATGCTCAATCAGAACATTTTTAATGATAAATATACAACTATATGGAGCAGTTGATTTCACTCTGGAAAGTAGAAAGCCAGCAGCTGATAAATGTTAGGTTTGGTTAGGCCACATGTTAAGGGAGGTTAAAGAGGTTTTTCTGGCTGCGAGTGAATCCTGCTGGGATGATTACAGGGACTAAAAACCCCCCACCGTCCTTTAAAAATGCATGATGTCTCTTTTATGGAACTTGATGTCTCCCATAATGCCTCAGCAGCCTCATCTGCACCTCTGCTGTCATCACTCAGACGTGTCGGCATCGTGTCATCAGTGGTTTTAAAACACACAAACTCATTCAACAGCGGCACTAAAGTGAAACACAGTAAACAAGCGATTAAAAGGAAGCTGGAAACGCAACTTTGAAAAAGAAACTTTAGAAGGCCTGTTTTTTTCAGGGGTTTTGTCTTGTTTGCCTTTCCAAATTTCTGATGAGTATGTGTGTGTTGCTTGGTCACTGTTTCTGTGTGTGTCAGTCTTTCCCGTTGAAAGAGTTATTGTGTGTTTGTGTGCGTGAGTGTGTGTGCGTGTGTGTCTGAATGCTGGCTGCACAACAAAGAAGGAATTTTGCAACTCGTCAAGAACAAGAAGTAAAATATCGAGAGATGTTGTGAAAGACGGTGAGAGAGACTTGGATGAGATTGTCAGAGGAGGTTCGGTAGGGAATGACGGAAATACAGGGAGAATGAACCGGTTTGTGGTGTTTTTCTGGTATGTATTTTAGGGAGGTCATGTGCCACAGGTTTATACAAACACACACTTTGCCACCTAGATGAGCACGTAGCATAGACTTCTGTTGGTTTTATATTAAGCCAATTATAGTGCAATAACCAAACTATAATTCTAAAAGAAAATGTTAATTTTTAAAAATGTATAAATCTGTAAAAATGTCAAATAAAAATGTATTGTCTGTGTGTGTGTTTCAGGCCAGCACTCTTCCACAGGGCACCATAAACCTGAATCAGTGTGTGGATGTTGTGGACGGTGAGAGCCGGACGGGTCAGAAACACTCGCTGTGCATCTGCACGCCAGAGAAAGACCATTACATACGTGCTGAGAGCAAAGAGATCATACATGGGTGAGTTACACACACGCACGGATGAACAATGAGCGTTAATTCATATCTCACAGTTGATCATAAGATATTTTTACAACTGTGATGTTTATATGCAGTTTAACACATCACTGTATTGATGTGATGAACTACTGAGGGACAAAAATTTAAATTTAACATCCGACAATTAATTATGTTTTGAATAAAATAATCTTATCCCTATCATTCCACATGCACGTTCACTCTATGAGCTATTTGAGATTAATCGTGACTGATGCATTTAATCATTAACATTTACTTATTTAGCAGACGCTTTTATCCAGTGACTTACAAATTGGGAACATCACAAGCAATTTGTCATAGAGCCATCTGTATCACTTGCTTGTTGTAAGAACTTGCTATTTTGCTGCATAATGCATTAATTTATAAGACTTGCAGATAAGAATATAAGAGCAAAACATAAATTACATTTGAGATGTCAAAACTAGCAAGAAACTGACAAAACAGGTATTATAGTGCAATAACCAAACTATAATTCTAAAAGAAAATGTTAATTTTTAAAAATGTATAAATCTGTAAAAATGTCAAATAAAAATGTATTGTCTGTGTGTGTGTTTCAGGCCAGCACTCTTCCACAGGGCACCATAAACCTGAATCAGTGTGTGGATGTTGTGGACGGTGAGAGCCGGACGGGTCAGAAACACTCGCTGTGCATCTGCACGCCAGAGAAAGACCATTACATACGTGCTGAGAGCAAAGAGATCATACATGGGTGAGTTACACACACGCACGGATGAACAATGAGCGTTAATTCATATCTCACAGTTGATCATAAGATATTTTTACAACTGTCTGATGTTTATGTGCAGTTTAACACATCACTGTATTGATGTGATGAACTACTGAGGGACAAAAATTTAAATTTAACATCCGACAATTAATTATGTTTTGAATAAAATAATCTTATCCCTATCATTCCACATGCACGTTCACTCTATGAGCTATTTGAGATTAATCGTGACTGATGCATTTAATCATTAACATTTACTTATTTAGCAGACGCTTTTATCCAGTGACTTACAAATTGGGAACATCACAAGCAATTTGTCATAGAGCCATCTGTATCACTTGCTTGTTGTAAGAACTTGCTATTTTGCTGCATAATGCATTAATTTATAAGACTTGCAGATAAGAATATAAGAGCAAAACATAAATTACATTTGAGATGTCAAAACTAGCAAGAAACTGACAAAACAGGTTAATTTATGAACGATGTGTTGGTATGTAATGATTGCTATTGAGAGGACAATTTGTGTTTATCTCCTTTTTTCATCTGGTAAAGCTTGATATGGGTTTGGTTTTAAACATTAATGTAAGTAATGACTAATGAGATCACTCACTGATTGATACAGTCTGTCTAATTAGATAAGCAATTACTAACTAATTTTGAAATATTGCCCAAACGTTGTTTGTGTCTTAAGGTGGCAGGAGGCGCTGATGGTTTTCCCACGAACCAACAAACAAAACCAGAAGAAGAAACGGAAGGTGGAAACACCAACGCCACAGGTACACATATATGTTATATATATTTCACCCCAAAAGTAATCATTTAGTCACTTAAAATCATTTTTTCAAAGTTTCATTTTAAGGTAAGCTATTCCTTTAACTATCTTAACCAGCAAGCATTTTTGTCAGTAAACCTGCATAGCAGTATCACCGGCTGTTATTTACTGGTGAACTGTATGGTTGTGTTAGTCCTCCAGCTAAACCAGCACTAGACCAGAATCAATCAGACCAGTATTCCAATCAGTGCCTGCGTCTAGACGTAACTGATGTGTGTATGTGTTTTGCCGTAAGCATGAGCTTTGTCTTCATTCTTGGACTACATTTACAAACTCACACACACACACAAAACCTGGCCAAGTATTTCACTCACCTCATTCGGTGAATGACAGCAAAAAAAATCTACTCTGGAATCTAAAGGTATTTCTTCATCTTTGCACAGGCTGCTCAAATTGTCTAGTCCTTCGATAAAATGGTTTATTGGCTAGTATTTTGTTCTACCGAGCAGGATTTTGTGCCCGAATCTGCTTGGAAAGCCAGTACGCAAATTTGGTGTAAAATGTTCATCCTAAAGTCAATTTCAATATATACACACACCCACACACACACACACACACACACACACATACACATATTATGGCTCCTTTATGTATAAATATATTTCAGAATATTTTTGATAAATATATTTTATTATTTAAATTTTATATTCTTAGTCTTTTTTGTAGAACAAAGATCTTTTTTAATTTTTATCATTTATATTTGTATTATTTTATTTGTTTTATATTTTTAACAGATAATTTACTTGGTAAGTGGTCTTAAAATTCAGTCATAATATATGTGTATATAAAAATTATTTTTACACATTTTTTTCTTTTTCTATTTTCAAAGATTTTTTTATACAACAAATCTCAGCCATTTTTTTCATACACTTTTTATTTTATTTTTTTGGTTATTGTTCATTTTATTTTATTTCTCAATCCTCTAGTTAATAGATTAATGAAGTGTTTTAAACTGACGTCAGGATTTGTTTGCTTTGCTCTGACCTCCTGACCTGTGTTTTGTCAGGCTGCTGATCTTCTAACAGATCGATGCTCCCTGCAGAACATCAATGGTTTTATTGTAAGTCCAGAACCAGCATGATCCAACCAATCAGAGCGCAGCACAGGATTCTGATCAGTACATAAATTCTGGGTGGTTTTGGAGATCATATGATTGGCAGGAATGAGAACCTTGTCATAATTTGTCCAGTAAATAATTCTCATATGTGTGCTTCTGCTGGGACGCTGGGTGGCTCACGCAGGCGTGTGTGTGTGTGTGTTTGGTTTCATGCAGAAAAATTCACTGAGTGATTTTATGATTTAATCAAAAAGGTATTACTGGGCGATCAGGTGGAAACAGGAAAGACACAGACTCTAATCTGCGAGTGTGTGTTTAGTGTGGGGTGTGGGGTGTGGTGCTGAGCGTAAATCAGCGTGTGTATGAAATCATGGCACAATAGCTCATTTGTTATCAGCCTGCAAGTTTAGACAGTTAGATTCGTGTGTATCTGTCTGCACACACAGGTGTTTTTGACATCAAAGAGCTCTTTGTTCTTGACTATGGGTTAGTTAAATATTATGCTTGTCTGTATGTCTCTCTTTCTCTGTTTGTGTGTTCAGGAACCAGGTCCTGCGAAGGTGACGGTCACCAGTACCTGCAGCAGCAGCAGTATGGTGTGTCTCCCCAGCGCTATAGCTCACGCAGAGCGAGTGCCGCCCACCCGGGCCACCCTGTGGCAAGAGGAAACATGGAGTCGAACCACTATACCGACAAGCTGCAGCACTGGCAGCCTGAGTCAGCTGGGTACCAACACACAAAAACACACACAATTCATCTGAAACTCACAAAAACAAGGTTATGACACTATGACTCTACTGTTGTGGGGTGTCAATCATTCAGCCGACAAAATATTGAAATTACATCTTTCATGTCACACCTTAGCAACGTCATAGCAACGCCATGGCAACCACTCATAACACTGTAGCACAGAGTGCAACAGTCAGGTTCCGAAAGTAAAACTCCCATTCATTTTCTATAATAATAATTACTAATAATTTATGCATTTAGCAAATGCTTTTATCCAAAGCGACTTACAGTGCAATCAGGTTATACATTTTATACCAGTATGTATTTTTTATCTCTATGTATTATTTTGCAATAAATGTAAAATATATTTTCTAAATACACAATCAGCATCTTTAAATCAGTAGTTTTATATTTGTCCATCGACTGTCATTCACAATGCCTCATGGGATTGTAGTTCTTTCCCTCAGTAATGCCTTTAAGTTCACATTCTTGTACCTTTGTCATTTTGTCCAGTTTTCAAGTATTTTTTTTGCTTCAAATCAAAGTTTGTACTGTTGTGGTTCACCTCGTAGCTAGGCTTATAAATCTTAAACAAAGACTTTTTAAAGATCCCCATGGGAGAAATGAATAGGAAAAATACTTACGGAACCAAGACCACTGAAAAAGCGGGCAGACACTGGTTTTTTTGTGATATTTTCTTCATAAAATCTAGTTAAATGTCTACTTTGATTATGACGTCACAGTCAGTTATTGGCATCATGTTTAATGCATGTGATTATATTAGTGATTTACATCACCAGGAAACTTTCTTTTTTTCACTTAAATGAAAATGTCCACTTCACACATAATATAGTCACTTCACCTCAGATTTCTGGGAAAACACATTAAACAAAAAGAACATTTAATTTGCCCTCACAAAAACCACAGTAAAATCATTAAATGTTACCTCAGTAAAACTGTGGTAACTTGGTGCTAGTCACCACTGTCCTTATTAAACTAAATGACAGATTCTCAAAGCGTCTTGCACTGTTTGAAAGAGATCCCAGATTCAATTAGTATGATTTTGCAGAAGTAACTAGGTAGTCTGGCAGCGGTAATGCTACCATGGTGCATTTTTATAAAGTACTGACTGAGATTTTTCGGTCTTTCTCACGCTCAGACTCCGGAAACTTGAGTGTTGGTCGTAAGCCACGGGTGGAGAGCGGATATTTTTCGCTGGAAAAACCCAAACCCGAAGAAGACGAAGAACGACAGCATCATCGCCAGCAGGAGCAAGAGCCACCGCCACCGCAGCAGCAGCCGCCCCCTCTGCTTTCTGCTTTCTCCACCACATCCTCCTCTTCCTCTCGCTCCAGGTATCTCTCCTTTGATCCTGAGCTCTTCAGCTCCCCAATCAGCTCACACAAACACACGTCACATGACCCACACAGCACTGCTAACACACAGACTTCCAGCATTACATATAACGCCCGCGCTCACAAACACAACACACAAAGACTTAGCAAATCAGAGGAGCATGTTTCAGCGGACGCCCCATCGCTGGATTCCCAGCTCTCGTCGGATGCAAATCTCTGTCCCCTTCCCAGCCCGGAAACGCTCTCCGGTCTGAACCCGCATGCAAACATCCTCCCATCGTTCCGGTCTTCCTCTCAGAGCTCTTTAGACTCTGAGCAGGGTCCGGAGAGCTGTGTGGGCGGAGCCTCGGGCAGGGCGGGGCGAGGTGGGCAGGGTTACGCCGCCCTGGCGGATGTGCCGCGGGCACGGAGACTCTATCATCGGGAAGCTTTCCGATCCAGTAAGGAGCGGCAGGAGCTGCGAGTGCGCAAGAGGAGCCCGGGCCGGGAGGAAGTGGAGCGGCTGTTCGGACATGAACGAAGGTGATGAGCCTGTACAGTTACATACACACACAAAAGCTCTATTTCAAACCCTATCTTTTTAGACAGCATCTTTAGAAGTAGCTGATTTGAAACACACTACATGGACGGCAAATCTTGTAATTGGCATTCATGCGTGCCCCACGAACAGCACTTAAAAGACGTTCAGTTCTGTATCATTTGATGCATTTCTAAGACCTCTAAATGATCAATATGATCAAAACTTTGCATGTCTCTGATTGATAGTTTGTGCTGAACCAAATTGCGTACTTTTGTTCAGTTTGGGCTTCTAAATAAAATCGAGGTGTTTTTTCCCCTCCATGTTTTTTCTCCTATATTATGCTGTATGAGCCATAAACATCAAACATGATACCCAGAAACCCTATGCACAAACTTTTTAACACATTTTTCCCCCCGGTTTTTGTCTAAAGGTTCAATAAATCATTCAAGTAAAAAAAATAACATTAGTAATATTATAAAAATATATTAAATATAAAATATTAATTATAAATATTAAAATTAATATTAACAAATCATATTAAATCAAAATGATCAATATAGCATAGTCTACACAAATACTTGGTTAAATAGTTAATTTTTTTTATTACATTTTTTAAAGCCATT